CATGGTGTTTCATGATTCAAGCCAATCAAGAGAGCCATTTCCTCTCATGATTCCAGCAAATCTAGAGAGCCATGGTGGCTCACGATTCCAGCAAATCAAGAGAGCCATGGCAGCACATAGTACCAGCCAGCATACTTTTGTTGCATAAAACGTGCTAAGTCTACTAAAGGGTGAACCTAAAAAAACCACACAAAACGGATTTTTTTGATTATTACTAAGAAAATCCGTATAATAATGGATGAAAATCTGCAAAACTATTATTTTGGGTCCAGTTAAGAGGGGATCTACCAAGAAAAAATGAATAAAAATCTTAAATCCATCTTGAAATCACAGATAAAGACCTATCTCCAGAAAAAGTCACATGCCAGTGATGGTAAAATAATAAAGTGGCTGTATATTGGTGCAGTCCCCGGTCCTGACACTCTCAATGCAATCAAAAAAGAAAGTGCTACAAGCTGTTATAGACAAAGAAAGCCGTCAAATCCAGAAGGAAGACTATTAAAAGTTTCCAAATACTCAAATATATATGTAACCACTAAAATATATCCAATAAAACTGTTTGAATCAGAATGCATAAATCAATTAGAGAAGAATTTGTATTATGTGTGGTTTTTTTAGGTTCACCCTTTATATGCTGGGTACACTTAGGGTTTCCATCGAAAGTGTTCTGTCGCATTTCGCAAACTTTTTCTCGAAATTTCACATTTTTTTCGCGAAAATAAATGAAGCGAAAACGAAGCAAAATTTTGCAAAAATATTTTCGCGACAATGCAAAATGCGAAAATTTCACAAAAATGCAATTTCGCGAAATGCAAAAATACGAAAATTTCGCGAAAATGCGAAAATTTTGTGAAAACCATGAGTTTTATTATGTCATATTTATAATTTCTCTTCCAAATAAGTTTTGAAGAAGAGAATTTGATTTCGCAATATCTTTTTTAAGTTTCTGTCTGTCCGTTCACAAAACATACGTTGAACCGTGATTTTCGCATTACTTTTCCGCGAAAATTTCGCATTTTTTTTCGCAAAATTCTCGCATTATTCTTATCGCGAATTTTTTGCATTATTTTTCCGAGAAATTTTCGTATTTTCTATTTGCGAAAATTTTGCATTTTTGCGAAACATATTGAAGCGAAATTTCTCAAAAATTTTGCTAAACGATTTTTCCTTTTTCGCTGGAAACTCTAGATACACTAGACAGGCTGGTACGAGTAAACCCTAGACTATTAATCCTTGTACCGGTTCTGATCGTGTAACAATTGGTCTCATCTCATGTACGTAATTCTGTAACCAAGGACACTTTTTAAACAGGGAAGACATTTTTCTAAAGGAGAACAAATTCATATTTTTTTGGTGGAACAATTTTTTTTGATATTCTTATTTTTAAATAAATATTTTAATAAGTCGAAATTTGCTTTTATGATGCTTGTGTGTAAAATTAAAACTGAAGATGCTACGAAGTCACAAAGATGTACTGCTTAGTTCAGTATGAACTCTATATACTGTACTGTACTGTACTGTTTAGTTCAGTATGAACTCTATATATTCAATATATTATACTAGCTAAAGTGACCGGCCTTGCTCGTAAAAATTTTAAAATTGAATTTGGAAAAAAAATTTATTCAAAAGAAGAAAAAAATTCGATTTTTTGAAAAAAATTTGTTTTAGTTTTTAGTTGTTGCTCCCCGGACACCCATGGGTTCACTTAAAAAATGTCGCTATAGCTAACATTTATACATATATTTATATGAGCGAAGGGCTTCATCAAATATCGAAGATAATATTTGGTAACACATATATTCAGCTTAAAATCATATATCTTCCTTACCCGACTATTAAAGTTTTATTCATATATCTTCCTTACCCGACTATTAAAGTTTTATTCATATATCTTCCTTACCCGACTATTAAAGTTTTATTGGCCAAATATTTTCCCACAGATGAGCTTGCCATGAAGAGGTATAAAATGACAAGAATAATTAAAATTCCAAATTTCACAAGTTTGGGATAATTTATCGATTTCATTGCTTTCAGTTCGGTTGGTTCTTGGTTCTATTCTAACACTGAGTGTTAGAATAGAAATGTGCAAAATCTGCAAAGTTATCTTTTTCTAGAGTATATATCTTGAAATCCAAGACGAGTAGAACAAAATTACACCAAATGGCTAAAACTTTATATTGAAACAATAAATGTCAATTATAAACTAATAATAAGGCGTTAGAACTAGTTTTTTTTATGATTCTTGATTTCATTTTAAAACTAATCCCTATTTTGAAATAATTACCGGATTTCAGGCTTCAGCTCATGTCACGTTTTCGGAACATATCCTGGTTTTGAGACAATTACCGGAATTCATATCAATGTCAATTTTCAAGCATTTACGGACTTTCGTAACAAAACAAGATATTTTGATAAGGTAAAATATAAACAAAATAGAAAAAGAAAACAAACTGTTCTTTTATAATTTAAAAATCATTACATCATTGAAAAATCAAAATATAATATCATTTGTTCTTACAATTTAGATTTAACTAGAAATGCGGGAAACTGTTTGTTTAAAATGCTTGAAAATAAATCTTATTTAACAGATAAAATGTGGAAACTGGAAAAAATTTAAAGTTAATTTAGTCTTCATAAGATAATTTTTGTTTTCAGTGATTTACTTTGTAATTTATGAAAGTGAGTTTTGTTTTGAATTGTGGATTATGCTCAAAAACGGGAAAATGGGTTTTGTCTCGAAAGAACGACATATGTTTGAAAATGGAAAACCTAACATTGTCTTGAAAACAGTCAAGAGCTTTAATATAAAAAGAACTCCTATTATAATTTTGATTTAAGTTTAAAATAGGGAATTGTTGTCCTCGTCATGTTTAATAAAATGTTAGTTATAGTTTTTATTAGCGACTTTTACTCTGGATATGGGCCGGGATCCCCCAAAACCCAGTCTTTCAATTTGTCTTTCATTTCTAACATTTAGTGTTAGAAATGGGCCAAGTGTTAGTTTTGGAACTAATATCCCCTGTACTATAGTCCAACTTGTCATAAAAATTGGACTTTACTGTGGAATGAAGACATAATTTCATATTTTCATATGTATAATGAGTACATTACATACATATTACACATTAATGGACGGTCACTTGTAATTCAGCCCCCTTTTCAATATGAATGGGGATAAGTAAAGATTTTCACATGATGGAATTCAGAGACCGGCTTGGTAATATATTTGAACCAGGAGTGCAATGTTATAGAAACACATTTAAAGATTCATTTGACGACAAGAAGACGCTTTTATGGTGTATAATTTCTCAGTAAGAATGTAAATTTGTCTGTAACATTTCACCGGAAGGAATGGTCCATGTTTATTTTAAAATTAATGTAAAAATGTAACAAATAGTATGCTAAATAATTTGTTACTTAGGATCAAGGTACTAATGCAAGGAAAGTTATTTCAGAGGTGTAAGCATTTTTTTGTACTGCAGTGTACTGTCTTTGGGCGGAAAAGAAAACACAAGACGGATGTCACAGCCTGACATGGAATCAATTTTCACAAAAATAATCAATGAAATATTCTGGTCATAGGAAACTATTATGTGAATTATCAAAATTATCAAAATTTAATGCTTTTAACCTCCTCGGATACCAGACGAACACTGATGCATCTATTCTTGTTTACAAATTCTGCCCAGAGAGAACTGGTTTCAATATGTACGCGAAGTATACGCGACCACAATTAACTTTCCTTGCATTAATACCTTGCTTAGGATCAGGTTGAAAAATTGAAATTAACTCTTTTCATCAAACTAAGTAATCTTATTCAGTTAATAGTTTCTGCAAATAAATTCTAGTCCAATAGATGGAAACGCAAAATTTGTCAGTCTCAGTACAGTTGTATTCTGACGTCATGAGTGTCATTTTAAATTTTGTGCCCGACAAAATTATTAATAATAGTTATAATTATAGAATAAATGGCTTATCTTATCAACTAAATAACTAATGTAAGATAATTTCGTTTTTCTTGTTATATTTGACACTTGCGACGTCGTGTATAATTGGGACATTTCTCTGTTGCCACCTATTGTACTTGATAATCTATCTGGGTTTCTGTAATTTTTGTTTGTTCGCAAAGTTTTCTTCGGATTTTCTTAAATTCTTATTAAAAGATGACATTTGAATCATTTGAATGCAAATTTATATGGAATAAAATACATTAATATAATGATGATAAAGAAAGGATTGATTGATTTCTTCACAAACATGTTCATAAGCAACACATTATTTTACTGTAGAATTTTAATTTATACATTTTACATCCTGGTTATTAAATACTTGTAAAAACCGTTTCTTCTGCAGACCATTCCTTCTGGTGAAATTTCACAAACGAATTTAGGCCCTTACATTATACAACGCAAAAGCGTCTCATTGTTATTAAATGAATCATAAATTTTTCTCTATGGTCCTGCACTCTCGGTTCAAATATGTTACCTAACCGTTTCCCCCCTTTAAATGTTTTGAAACTTTTTTAAGCTGTGGGAACAAAAGAAACAAAGCAATATAAATATTATGGAAAACAGTTTATTTTTACTTTATCTATTACACTTATATTCAATATACATTTTTCTAAACATTGACTATAACATTGCTTAACATTAAATAACTGTATCTAATAAACTTTATTATTTTTATCAATAAATTTTATACTAACATACAGCACATTTTTCATTTGTAAGGCACAATTGGTTTTTTGAAATTTTTTTTGCTAAAAAAATAAATTTTTCCAAAACCCAAATTCTGAAATTTCTGAAAACAGATTCATGAACTAAAGAGACGTATCATGAACATTGTTAATAATAAGTTGAGTATGTTATGTTATATGCAGTAAAAATATTTATGTTTAATTTGCTTTATGTTTATGTTCATGTTCAGAACATTCAGTCTGATATATGAATTTTATAACTATGAGTACAATAATTTTTTACTTCGCAAGGAGTTTTTTTTTCAGCTATTTCTTCATTCTACACTGTACTTAATTGTACAGTTTGTACAGACAGAATCTATTCATTCTACACTGTACTTAATTGTACAATTTGTACAGACATCTTATCATTCTACACTGTACTTAATTGTACAGTTTGAACAGACATAATCTTCTCATTCTACACTGTACTTAATTGTACAGTTTGTACTGACATAATCTTCTCATTCTAAATTGTACAGTTTGTACAGACATAATCTTCTCATTCTACACTGTACTTGATTGTACAGTTTGTACAGACATAATCTTCTCATTGCAGCAAAGGAATTATTTTCCCTTTTTAGTATTTTTAAAATATCAAAGGAAGACTTTCTTGAAAACAATCTTGAAAACGATCTTGAAAATTAGTTAATTATTGTTACTGGTACTAATGTACTAATAAAATATGTAAATATTCAAACTTTGAAATGTACACTGCAGTACAGTGCTCAGTGCTGAAAACATTGCAATCAAACATAGAGATTTTACAGAGATTTTTGACATATAGTAGAGGGTATACAGATTGCACAATGCTCAGGGTCAGGGTACATAGATTGTACAATGTACAAGGTACACAGATTGTTCTGGGTATAGGGTACATAGATTGTACAATGTACAGGGAACACAGATTGTACAGTGTGCAAGATACACATATTGTTCGATAAACAGGATACACAGATCGTACCATGGGTACTCAGATTGTACTGGGTATAGGGTACATAGATTGTGCAATGTATAGGGTACACAGGTTGTACAGTGTACAGGGTACACAGATTGTACAGTGTATACGGTAAACAGATCGTAAAGGGTACTTAGATTATCATTGTACAATGTACAGGGTACACAAATTCTACGGTGTACAGGGTACACAGATTTTACAGTGGACATCACACACAGATTCTACAGGACACACTGTACACTGTACACAGATTGTACTGGACAAAGTGTACACTGTACACAGATTGTACTGGGGACAGGGTACATAGATTGCACAATGTACAGGGTACACAGATTGTAGATTGTACACTGATTTTGTAAACATTATACATTAATAATTTACAGATTTTAGTCCGGGAGTATTTCAACAATTAATCTTCCCCATTTCCTGGATTTCTCTCCTGTGCGCAGCAAGTCAACCTGTTTCAAGAAAAACGTTATTTTTGCAAAATAAATAACTGATCACCGAAAATAACGATTCCAATAATTGGTGTTTAAGAGTTGAAAAAATAAAGGATTAAAAATTGCTTTTGAATGAAATCTTTTGATTTATCAAATTCTGAAAGAAATCAAATTAATGCATTATATCAGAAAGCAAGGCAAACTTGTTTATTTGATTTTCAATTCAGAATAGATGATTCATAAATAAAAAATATCTGTTGCTTGTTTTTCTATTGACATGTTTACATGTTACACATAATATATAGAATTAAAAATTCTTTGCAAAATTAAACATGCAATTGAGAGTTGAGAACATGTTTATGATAAAAGTAAATGAAAAGAAAAAACAATTTGTCATTTATTTATCTTAAAAGAAGATACTAAGAAGAAAGTAATAATAGAACTAAGGAAGGAGGAACAGGGTTTTTATACATTTCAATGTAGTATTAAGACAGTCCAAAAACTAAAGTTTTTTAGTAAAAAATTACATAGAAAGCAAACAGTGATTGCTCAGGGCTAGGCCTTACATAAGAAACCTATAAGCTTTTTTTGTTTCCAATGTTTGTTATTGCTTACAATATTTTTTATTATTTTATATTTACAATATTTGTTATTGCTTACAATGTTTGTTATTCATTGCAATGTTTGTTATTGTTTACAATGTTTGTTATTGTTTACAATGTTTGTTATTGCTTGCAATGTTTGTTATTGCTTACAATGTTTGTTATTGTTTACAATGTTTGTTATTGCTTGCAATGTTTGTTATTGTTTACAATGTTTGTTATTGCTTACAATGTTTGTTATTGTTTGCAATGTTTGTTATTGTTTGCAATGTTTGTTATTGTTCACAATGTTTGTTATTGCTTGTAATGTTTGTTATTGTTTACAATGTTTGTTATTGTTTGCAATGTTTGTTATTGTTTGCAATGTTTGTTATTGCTTACAATGTTTGTTATTGTTTGCAATGTTTGTTATTGTTTGCAATGTTTGTTATTGTTCACAATGTTTGTTATTGCTTGCAATGTTTGTTATTATTTAAAATGTTTGTTATTGCTTGCAATGTTTGTTATTGTTTACAATGTTTGTTATTGTTTACAATGTTTGTTATTGCTTGCAATGTTTTTTATTGCTTGCAATGTTTGTTATTGCTTGCAATGTTTGTTATTGTTCACAATGTTTGTTATTGTTTACAATGTTTGTTATTGTTTACAATGTTTGTTATTGCTTGTAATGTTTGTTATTGTTTACAATGTTTGTTATTGTTTGCAATGTTTGTTATTGTTTGTAATGCTTTTTTTTACAAATAAAACCTGTTTCTCAAACTTTTTAATACGTCGCACTAAAATGTAAACCAACCCTTAGTTCTATTACTGCTCCCTCCGCTAAAAAATATGCTTTATTCAAAATAAAAAATTTAAAGCGCGCGCGCGTGCGGTTTTACTCACTTATTTCGTACAGGGACATCTTACAGTTTCTCTGCACGGTTCAAGTAAAATTATTAATCTTTTAATTATTTATAAATTTTAAAAAAATCTATTTTAACAATCCTATTTTTATTTGTTTACAATAAAATTGAACATGACTTCCGACTTTCTAAGTCGTCTTCGTTTTTAAAAATAAAATGGCGGATTTACCTTTCTACGTCATCAATTGTTTCCGGCATCTTGCGCCCCTTGGTCTCCGGGAGGAACCAGGTGAGGCCGGAGGAGAGGAGGCCGAGGGTGACGAATATGAGGGTGGGGATGGCGGGGTGAATATCGGCCAAAGCGGCGACGGTAGTTGAGAGAGTTCCACCCACTTTACTTACAAGAGAGGAGGAGCCGACACCAGCAGCTCGAACAGTGGTTGGCATAATCTCTCCTAAAAAAAAATATTATATAGGTTAATTTAACCAGAAGCAGCCAAAAATCAAACTTCATCAACCTAGTTGCACCAGCTAGCCCATGCCTTCGGAGCTAGGTATCTATTTTGACCCCTGACGTATGTCTGCCAGTGTAGTTGGTATACCGGGCAGGCCTGTACAAACTAAAGACCGGAAAGGTCGGTTCAGCTCAGACTCAAATGTACATGAATTTAGTGTGATGACAAATTCAGTGAAATACAAAATTAAATCGAGAAAACACAAAACGCCAAAGGTAAAATAAAAAACGGAAATAAAGTATAAAATAAAATGATTCAACAATTGTATTTACAATGTTTGAAAGAAGACAAAATATAAAAACAGTTTTAAAATATTTTTAGTACAGTTTAATAAAAAATGTTGAACATAATGTATCAAATTTTATAAAACAGTTTACTCTCTTCTCCGATTTTTAGATATTAATGCTGTTTTGATTTTCTTTAATTTGTATAAAAAATTAAGAAAGAAACAAAAATTCAATTATTTTTTGTAAGGACAATAGAAACTTTCTTTTATTTTATTTTTGGGAAAAATGAATATTTAAAATGTCAAATATATCATAATATTTACAGAATTAAAAATGCCCATTTCACAAATAAAGTCCTCTAATATTTTTATGAATGTTAAAAATGTGGTCATGAAACTTTTTTAGCTATATGTTTAGTTTTTCTTCATAGCTTTATTTATGTGTAAACTGCTAAAAAGGCTTTAGTTGAAGAAACAAAAACAAAGAAAAAAAAACAATGCAATTATTTTCCAGACAGAGGTAAAGTGGATGAAAGATTTTTCTACTTTGAAAAAAATGGTTTTTCACGCTTAGCAGGAAGTTATCCACTTCAAATCCAAACTGGAGGAGCTACGAGGTCGCTTAGCAGGAAGTTATCCACTTCAAATCAAAACTGGAGGAGCTACGAGGTCGCTGAGCAGGAAGTTATCCACTTCAAATCAAAACTGGAGGAGCTACGAGGTCGCTGAGCAGGAAGTTATCCACTTCAAATCAAAACTGGAGGAGCTACGAGGTCGCAAAGTTGTATCTTATTAAATTTATGTACCATATATCCATATATAAGATATTGGAATATCTATGTACCCTTTTATCTGTGTACATATAGAAATTGCTGGTATATTTATGTACCGTTTTACCTGTGTAAACTGTACACTATACGTATACAAGATATTTGCACATGTATATACCGTACACTTTTGTACAAATACAAATATTGGTATATTTATGTACCGTATTATGGGTACAAACACAAGATATTGGTATATTTATGTACTGTATTACCTGTGTACAAATACAAGATATTGGTATATTTATGTACCGTATTACCTGTGTACAAACACAAGATATTGGTATATTTATGTACCGTTTTACATTTGTACAAACACAAGATATTGGTATATTTATGTACCGTTTTACCTGTGTAAACTGTACACTATACATAAACAAGATATTTGCACATGTATGTAACGTACACTTTTGTACAAATACAAATATTGGTATATTTATGTACCATATTATGGGTACAAACACAAGATATTGGTATATTTATGTACTGTATTACCTGTGTACAAATACAAGATATTGGTATATTTATGTACCATATTACCTGTGTATAGGGATGTTAACGTTTTCATTTTTCAGAAAAACGATCGTTTCGTTATGAAAACGACGACGAAAAAACGAAAACGAAACAATCAAAACAATCGTTTTTATAAAATTTGTCGTTTTGTTAACGATTGTTAACGACGACCCTTCATAAACGATCGTTAACGACGGACAATCGTTAACGATCGTTAACGACGACCCTTTGTTAACAATCGTTAACGACAACCTTCGTTAACGATCGTTAACGACGACCCTTCATTAACGATCGTTAACGACAACCCTTCGTTAACGATCGTTAAAGAAGAGAGGAACCCGACCTGAAATCTTGCATCTTGAAATATCAGAAAGTCTAAATGATTATTCAATTACTGACTCATTATACTAAATCCATCTTAAAATCACTCATTAACCAACTTTGTGATACTTCAAGATGCAATACTCAGTCAAATTTGTCAAAAATTTCATTGTAAAACAGTTTAAGAATTCAACACACAAAATAATAATCTTAAGTAGAATTGAAAAAATGGTTTGAGTTGTGATTTTTTGCGTGACGTGGCTGGATTTTCTTAAATCACACTTTAAAGGCCCTAAATATACCATTTAAAAAAGTAGTTTTGCCCGGAAGAGTCAAATGTGGTGGTACGGAAGGTGAAATAGTGGTGGCTCATGGCTGCTGGAAGAGAAAAAAGCTAATATGTGGCACGGAAGGGGAAATAGTGGTGGCGCATGGCCGCCTGCCTTCCCCCGCTCACCGTACTACCAGTGTACAAATACAAGATATTGGTTATTTATGCACCGTACTGCCTGTGTAAAAATACAAGATATTGGTTATTTATGTACCGTACTACCTGTGTACATATACAAGATGGCGAAGCATAAAGTAGTGGAGAAGTTTCCAATGAGAGCAAGGACGACAATCGGCCAGTTTCCAGGATATACGTCACGCTCGATAAACAGGGTACCCAGAAACATAACTCCTACATTTTGAAAATTATTTGTTGCACTATTACATCCATTTCACAAATGTTTCAATCTATAGATTGAAAAAAAATAATTTTTCAAACTGTTAAACTTGCTGAACGGAGTTAAGTTAATCAATTATATAATCGCAAAGCTAGTTAATTTTTGCTTTTGAATATGTCTAATAATGCAAAAAGTAAAACGTGGGCACCTTTGAAAAATATGTTGCAGTATTGAAAAAGGCGCCAAAGTTTAAAAAGATGGCGTCACTACCTGTGATAGCGCTTCCAATCATGTAAGGGTATTTTCTTCCCTTCTTGAGAACTAGCACCATAGCTAGAGTTTTAGCAGGGAAATCAAGGATTGTACCGATCAGGAAATTCAAGAAAAGACCCCCTGAAATAATCTAAATAAACAAAATGATAAAAAGCACTATAAGACAGTCTGTTCAAATGTTTACAAACAGTGATTAGAGTTGTACTGCATGCAAGATATTTTACAAAATTGTACAAAAGTGTATTAAGGTTATGCAACTTACTAAAACATTCATTACAGATGTACACACCCTTGTACACCAACATACTTAAATATATATAGAAATCAGTGTAAAAAACAATTTCTTGAAAACTCATTTGCCTCTCATCAAGAATGTAATGCAAGGAAAGTTAATTGAAGTTGCGTATACTCCGCGTACATATTGAAACCAGTTCTCTCTGGGCAGAATTTGTAAACAAGAAAGATGCATCAGTGTTCGTCTGGTATCCGAGGAGGTTAAAAGCATTAAATTTTGATAGTTTTGATAATTCACATAATAGTTTCCTATGACCAGAATATTTCATTGATTTTTTTTACGTGAAAGATGGATCCCATGTCAGGCTTCGACATCCGTCTTGTGTTTACATTACCGCCCAGTGACAGTACACTGCAGTACAAAAGATGGGTACACCTCTAAAATAACTTTCCTTGCATTAATTCCTTGCCTCTCATTGTCAATTATAATTTTTTTTAGTATATTAGGTTGTTTTTACTGCAAGGGAGAAAATTAATAAATTTTTGTGTAAAAAAAGTAAAAAAAGGAAAACTTGCCTTTTGATATTTAACTTTATCCCACCTCCACCCCCAATCTTAAAATATAAGTCTTAACCCCCTTAGTTGAGGGGGGGGGAGGGGTATTTCTTCTCTTGTGTACACAATGTACACAACCCACCTGTCAGGTTCTGCCAAGATAGAGCCAGTCCGTACATAATGAAAGCGGTCGTAAACCAGTTGAAGTACATAATCATGGTGTGCATTCTAGAAATAATTGTACAATACATTAACAAGTTTAATCAGATTGTACAGAAAAAGATTCATTTAAAAGTTTTCATTGGCTAAATTTAATGCATTTACCGTACGCTGAACTATCTACCGACGGTTTAAATTTGAATAATCGATTCTAATCCTTACTGAATTTGAAAATTGGTATCTAAAATTTTTACCGGTTTCATAGATGAATTAAATTTAAAATATTTTTTTTGAATATCTGAATTATCTCAATTGGTGTACCGTCCTGTTTTGCATTGTATAGTGTTTGTTTAATGTATACAACAGGAGCTATGCTGCCTAGGTCGGTATTGTACTTTAAATAAACCAGAGGCCTAATTTAAAGAATTTGAGCCGCGGCTTGAATCCACCAAAACCCGGTTTAAATTACGCGCTGGCTTAAATCTTGAAACATTTGATACAATTTTAAGTGGAACCAACCATATTTAAGCCGCGGCTTAAATTTAAACCGAAGCTCAAATTCTTTAAATTCGGCCTCAGAGTTGACAGTGTTCCTGTACGGTACGACCACCTGTGACGGATGAAATTGTACCGTATTGAATGTTAACTGTACCGTTGTTAACCAGATGAATCATAAATAGGAAGACGACATTTAAGAAATCTTGCGTGTATTTGATGTTGTTATAAAGCAATTCGTTTTCCCTCTAGCCTGTTATTAAAGAGGGCTTGTCAAAGGCTGTGCATAAAGTGCATTTCACTTTTCAAATCATTACTAGTGTACAATAAGCGTCTTCCTAATCATTACTAGTGTACAATAAGCGTCTTCCTATTCATTAATAGTGTACAATAAGCGTCTTCCTAATCATTGCTAGTGTACAATAAGCGTCTTCCTAATCATTACTAGTGTACAATAAGCGTCTTCCTAATCATTAGTAGTGTACAATAAGCGTCTTCCTAATCATTACTATAAAAATAATACAGGGTGTCCCAATAAACATGGGAATTCAGTGACGAATTCGATATCGTCTTTTTAGATAATGCTTTGATTTAGTAAAGTGATACCTTCTGAGAAAGCTGTGATCTGTAAAAGTTTCGTTTGCTATGTTCACATTTTGTTTGTGTATGTTTTGACTGCATACGGTTGTACTTAGTAAAACAAGACAATTTCAGTATACAAACAGTGTAAACTTGTCCGAGGCCGTTCCTTCCATAAACTACATTGGTCGACAACTTGACGTCTCCTATATTGGTCGTGAAATGTACGGAGAAATAGTGTTTTGTTCAAACGCGTTCTTCCATGAGTTATCAGTGTCCGAGTATTGTCCGACCACAAACACATACATATGCGGCGCGACCCCTATCGACGGAGAAAAAGGGAAAGCTTATTGCGAATTTGATTTGAACGCGGCAAACTATCTTAAACTATAGGATTAATTGTACTTTGAATTAATTTCAAATTCATAATGGATCTTAAAAACAAGAAACTGCAATCAATTTATGAAATGAAATCATAAAGCTAATTTGATTAGTGCTGCCACCTTTTCTCAAATAAATCATGGCCAAGTACGGCTAATGCACGGCTAATGATCCAGATACCGTATGGCGTGAGAAACTCTGTCCGTCCATGAATAACTGCACGGGAGACATCTAGCGGCCAAATTATCGTCCTCCAAAGTATGTGAAGTACACGTCCACTATCTATAGAAGGAACGTCTTCACTGTTCATCTTGTGGGTATATTATAGACACATCTTTACAGTCTTTTACCCTTTTCATAAAATAAACTCTAGCAGACATAATAATATTATTGCTTTTGAAATTAGGTATTACATTGCTAATTCATAACCAATACGATATACAATTCGTCACTGAATTCCCATGTTTTTTGGGACACCCTGTACCTTAAGCACAATATCCTCCTCTTTAATATCCTTCCCGTTCCTCTTAGCAGCAGAGAACAAGATCTTCTTAGCTTCATCAGTTCTAGACTTAGCTATCAACCACCTAGATAGATATATAGATAGATAGATAGATAGATAGAAAGATAGATAGATAGATGGGATTTATTCTGATATTATAATTAGTGTAAAGTCACTTCTACCTGGGAGACTCAGGAACCCAGAAGAGAAGAACAGCTCCGACGGCGACCATGGCGGAGATTATTCGGAGATGCCAATGCCAGTCTCTCAGGACGTAGGCCAAACCTGTTGAAGAGAATATTATCTAAATAAGATTAAATCATAATATAAAAAATGTAAATATGACCGTACATGAAAATTGCGTAGAAAGAAACAGAATTATTTTCAATCAACTCTATATCTTTATCTCTAGTTTATCCTTAACCATTCATTTATCAATCTATATCAATTCCTTTCATTCATTTATCAATCTATATCAATACTTCCATTCATTTATCAATCTATATCAATACTTCCATTCATTTATCAATCTATATCAATACTTCCATTCATTTATCAATCTATATCAAAACTTCCATTCACATATCAATCTATATCAATACTTCCATTCATTTATCAATCTATATCAATACTTCCATTCATTTATCAATCTATATCAAAACTTCCATTCATTTATCAATCTATATCAATACTTCCATTCATTTATCAATCTATAACAATATTTCCAAACATTTATAAATCTATATCAATACTTCCATTCATTTATCAATCTATTTTAATTCTTCCATTTATTTATCAATCTATTACAATTCTTCCATTCATTTATCAATCTATATAATTTCTTCCATTCATTTATCATGCAATCTATATATATCAATTTTCCATTCATTTATCAATCTATATTAATTTCTTCCATTCATTTATTAATCTTTTTTATTTAATTAATCTTTTTATCATTCATTTTTCCCAAAGGAATTGAATCTTTGCCACATCCACAAATCTTCTAATCCCTATATCTTTGCAACCTGATGGTATAAAATTTTGATATTTTTACCTTAGCTATTTTGATTCAATATTATAAATAGCTTGAAATATATAAAGTCTGTGACATTGGGTTGTAAAGATAAAAGAATTAGAAGATTAGAGGTTGTGGCAAACTTTCTTTATTAATTCCTCCAATTTTCCTTTAATCTATTGATTCATTTATTTATTTATCTATTTACCTGCAATGATAAGCCTACAGAAGGGCCAAGAATAGTTCATTGACATGCCCAAGATGATCTTCCATTTGCCCGTAGCCAACTCCATTGTCCAAACAAAGGCGGCAGTGTAGCAAGCAATGGCCATTGTGCCAGTAACCCACCATGTAAACACAAACACAGGATACCTAGACAGTGTACACTCTTAGAAATATTCTTCGTTACAGGATACCTAGACAGTGTACACTTTTAGAAATATTCTTCGTTACAGGATACCTAAACAGTGTACAATCTTAGAAATATTCTTTGTAACAGGATACCTAGATAGTGTACACTCTTAGAAATATTCTTTGTAACAGGATACCTAGACAGTGTACACTCTTAGAAATATTCTTTGTAACAGGATACCTAGACAGTGTACACTCTTAGAAATATTCTTTGTAACAGGATACCTAGACAGTGTACACTCTTAGAAATATTCTTTGTAACAGGATATCTAGACAGTGTACACTCTTAGAAATTTTGTTCGTAACAGGATACCTGGACAGTGCACACTCTTAGAAATATTCTTCGTAAGAGGATACATTGTCAGTGTACACCTTAGAAATATTTTTTGTAACAGGATACCTAGACAGTGTACACTCTTAGAAATATTCTTCGTAACAGGATATCTAGACAGTGTGCACTCTTAGAAATTTTGTTCGTAACAGGATACCTGGACAGTGTACACTCTTAGAAATATTCTTCGTAACAGGATACATAGACAGTGTACACCTTAGAAATATTCTTTGTAACAGGATACCTAGACAGTGTACACTCTTAGAAATATTCTTCGTTACAGGATACCTGGACAAAGTACACTCTTAGAAATATTCTTTGTAAGAGGATACCTAGATAGTGTACACTCTTAGAAATTTTGTTCGTAACAGGATACCTTGACAGTGTACACTCTTAGAAATATTCTTCGTAACAGGATACTTAGACAGTGTACACTCTTAGAAATATTTTTTGTAACAGGATACCTAGACAGTGTACACTCTTAGAAATATTCTTCGTAACAGGATATCTGGACAGTGTACACTCTTAGAAATTTTGTTCGTTACAGGATACCTAGACAGTGTACACTCTTAGAAATATTCTTCGTAACAGGATACCTAGACAGTGTACACTCTTAGAAATATTCTTCGTAACAGGATATCTAGACAGTGTACACTCTTAGAAATATTCTTCGTAACAGGATATCTAGACAGTGTACACTTTTATAAATATTCTTCGTAACAGGATATCTAGACAGTGTACACTCTTAGAAATATTCTTCGTAACAGGATACCTAGACAGTGTTCACTCTAAGAAAATTCGTCGTAATTTTGAACTTATAGAAACAAAATTCAAAATTCGAAAATTCAATTTCGAAAAGAATATTAGAATTTTTCGGATTTTCCGTGTATTCTATTCATAATTAATTTCGAACAATTTTTGTGTAATTCACAAATACGTAGTCCGGGTATTTAGAAATTTCAAGATGCAGGGTTTTTATAAAACATTAAATTAATATTGCAGTGCATAAAATTAAAAATTGTGAGTAAACTTTAAAACAGTTTATAATTGTCTTCTTGTCTAGTTGAACCAGTGTCCAAGCGGCTAAGCGTGTCTTCCTGTCTAGTTGTACCAGTGTCCAAGTGGCTAAACGTGTCTTCCTGTCTAGTTGTACCAGTGTCCAAGTGGCTAAGCGTGTCTTCCTGTCTAGTTGTACCAGTGTCCAAGTGGCTAAGCGTGTCTTCCTGTCTAGTTGTACTAGTTTCCAGGTGGCTAAGTGTGTCTTCCTGTCTAGTTGTACTAGTTTCCAGGTGGCTAAGCGTGTCTTCCTGTCTAGTTGTACCAGTGTCCAGATGGCTAAGCGTGTCTTCCTGTCTAGTTGTACCGGTGTCCAAGTGGCTAAGCGTGTCTTCCTGTCTAGTTGAACTGGTGTACTGGTGTCCAAGTGGCTAAGCGTGACTTCCTGTCTAGTTGTACCGGTGTCCAAGTGGCTAAGCGTGTTTCCATGTCTAGTTCTATCTGAAATCCGCGAAATTTTTTTTATTTTGTTTTGTACAAAGAGATAGAGCCACAATTAAATGTTGAAATATAAGTGTCTTAAAATCCCAGTATCTTAGACTCTTAGTATCTATTTCTTGTTGTGACTTATTGTATTTTGTCTTTTGTGTGTGTTAGTACTTTTGATTATTTGCTTATTAACAAAGATAAAATCTATATAAAATTACCAAGGTATAAATGATGTTATAACACCAAAGACAACCATTGTGATAGAAGAATACCAGATTGCAGTCTTTCTTCCAAATCTATCAGAAATCAAACCAGAGGCAAAGGATCCAAGGGCAAAACCTAAAAAAATATTAAATTTTCAAAAACCTTAATTTATTTTGGAACATAACTTTCATAAATGGGTTTTAATTACTTTACGTTACAAATTCATTTTACAGAAAATTCAGATGCTAATTTTTAAAGGAAAAGTAAAAATTCCCTTAATAGGTTCAATTAAGGAGGGTTCATTTTTAACCATTGATTAAAGGCGCCTTAAGGAACCATATTCTTTTTAAAGTAATATAAATGTCTTATTTTGATACTAAACGAAATATTTTTTATTACGTAAAAGATAATCTCTTTATAGTTATAGACAAGCTTAAAGGGCTTCTTTTAATATATTTCTATATAATATTCATTTTTATGTATTTAATCATACGTGTGTGATAATTATCTAGGCGTAAAAAGATAGATAAATATTTTACTGGTTTTAGACCAACATGACCACCGAAGTTTTCAAGTAAAAATTTGCGGTCATGGGAACCCTTGGTAAAGTAAAATCTTCTAAACTTCTCTGTAACGTAGTTGTAAAATTATTTTAAAACTGTGTGAAACCACATTTGTGCAATCGTGTGCCTCTGTATACAGTAAACTACCTGTGAAAAGAATTAGTTTAGCTAAAGTTTTTAAAGCAACCCTCTCACAAACCAGGTCCCATTCAGTTGTCATTGTGTGAACCCAGAAACTAGAAACATATTTATTTATTTATCTATTTATCTATTTATCTATTTATCTAGTTATCTTTTCATTTATTTAGATATTTATCTATTTATCTATTTAACTATTTATCTATTTATATATATCTATTTATATATTTATATATATCTATCTATATATTTATCTAATTATCTATTTAACTATTTNGGGACTGTACAATTTCTGAGCACAAACAACATGAAAGGGACTGTACAATTTCTGAGCACAAACAACATAAAAGGGACTGTACAATTTCTGAACACAAACAACATGAAAGAGACTGTACAATTTCTGAACACAAACAACATGAAACTAAAAGTGACTTGCAGCTTTATAGATAAAGAATGCAACTGACAGAATTCAACACTTTTGAAGGGTAACTTGCAGATTAACAACTTAAAGGAGTTGAGTAATAGACACAAACTCACATTTTCTTATCAATATATCTTTGCAACCTTAGATATTTCAAACCTAGATTATTATATCTTGCGGAATTCAAAGTTTGAAATATCTAAGGTCTACGACTTTGGATCGCAAAGATTTGAGGATTATAAAATCTGAGTTTGTGGCGAAAACTCAATTCCTTTGGATCATAACGTCAATGACAGGGGATAATTAATGACATTGCTTGAAATTACTAGAATTTTTTTAATTTAAAATTTTTTTTTTTGAAGTTAAAAAATACCTCTTTTCCTCTGTTCCATTTTCAAAATGTATATGTTCTACATTAGGTATATCCATAAAGGGAGAATACTCAACACCTAAATAAATATATGCAAAAAAAAACCGGTTTTCTTAATTTTTTTCCTTCACAAATTGATATTTTATTCGTTACAATTTATTTATGTTCAAAACTTTTAAAATTACATTTGTTCCTATATTTTCATATTTGAATAAAAAGAAAAACATCTTTTATTTTTCTTCTATTTTTAAACTTGGATATGGGTTAAACTCATTTTCTTTACGCGAAAAAAAAATCAGACCTTTCATTGGTTAAATGTAAAATCAAAAATTTTGACCGAAAATGGACTTATCTTCCCATAAGGAGAGAATGAGTTTAGCTAGATAAGTTGATTCAAAAGTTTCTGTGTCTAGTTTCTCATCTTACTACCTTGTTCATCTGTTGCCAAGGCACACCAATATTTGGTTTTCGGAGTGATGAAAGCGCTATGAAAGATATGGGCTAGACCTGAAGAAAATTTATCTATTTATCTATTTATCTATTTATCTATTTATCTATTTCTCTATTTCTCTATTTTTCTATTTCTCTATCTCAATAATATCTATCACCTGTGATCATGCTCATAATCAACACAGTTATCCATGCACTGTCCAGTTATATTCGGGTATCTGATATTTAATTGAAAATATAATAAATAATATCATGAAAATTTAGTAAAGTAAAAGAATTTGAAAAAAAGCATGAAAATGAAAATAATTACTTTATTAGAATATTTCAATATTCTTATGAAAATAGTGATAAAATAAAAGCAAATTATGATGATAATGCTGAGACTGTAAAATTTCTGAACACAAACATCATGAAAGACACTGTACAATTTCTGAACACAAACAACATGAAAGGGACTATTTCTGAGCACAAATATCATGAAAGGGACTGTACAATTTCTGAGCAAAAACAACATGAAAGGGATTGTACAATTTCTGAGCACAAACAACATGGAAGAGATTGTACAATTTCTGAACACGAACAACATGAAAGGGACTGTACAATTTCTGAACACAAACAACATGAAAGGGATTGTACAATTTCTGATCCGAATATGGAATTTTGGTAAAAAAGGGGGATTTATTTTAAAAGAAGAAAGGGGCGGGGGAGTGTTGGGTAGTGTTGAGGAGTTGATTAATGAATATGCCAACATAAATTTAAGAATATTAATAAGGAGTTTAGCACATGTGTGTGTTACTATTTTTTAAACAAATATTAAAGAATAATTTCATGAAAATCTTCATATTGTCAATAAATATCAAATCATTTATATCAATCTGTCAAAGTTACATTTTTTATTTATTTAAAATCTTGGATTTTTTTAAAATTTTGAACATTCACGCTATGTTAGATCTGAACTTTTAAATTGGATAGCGCTGATTTTATATGAATGAACTTGATGTTATCAAAGGAATTTGAGCTTTATGTAGATTGTACTGTACTGTACTGTACTGTACTGTACTGTACTGTACTGTACCTGGTGCTGCGGCAATAAAGACGAGTAAAATTTTTTCTATCTGCCATCTTCCAACCTCGCCTAGTTAGATAAAAATGTAGATGGATAGATGGATAGATAGAAAGGAAGACAGAAAGATGGCTTAATAGATCATTAGATTAGATAGAAAGATAGATATCTAGTTGGATAGATAGATAGATAGATAGATATATAGATATATAGATAGAAAGATAAAAATATAGAAGGATAGATAGATAATTGGATAGATAGATAGTTGGATAGATAGATAGATGGATCGATAGAAAGATAGAAAGATAGTTAGATAGACAGATGAATAGATATAAAGTTAGAAAGTTAGATAGATAGTTAAATAGATAGTTAGATATAAAGTTATGGATGGCTCATGGATAGTTGATAGATAATTAACAACAAAGATGTCTAGTAGATAGATAGATAGATAATTAGAAAGATGTCAAGTTAAATAGATAAATAGGTGTGAATTGATTTTGATCTAAGCTTTTAAAATAACAATTTGGTTGAAATCATGACAAAATGTACAGATAATATATCAAAAAGTTCGTTATAACAAAATTTGAATATGCCTCGATTAAAATCTGTTCTTGATTCGAATCATGTTTATAAAACATTTCTAAAACATTAGCCAAGTTGTCAACTGTTCTTTTCTACGTTATATTTAAATGACAACTGACAGCAAACAGAGACTTTTTCTCAATAATTTTTTTTGAATTCAAATAAAATACAACTCAAAGATTTTACCTATAATTGCTGTTATCTGATCAGTGTTAGGTTTAGGTTTAGGTATCGCTGGATCCGTTTCCTTTTCTTCTTTGTCGCCCGCCATTTTTATTGAAATCAGCTGATTTTGGTTCAATACTAGGTTTTCTGAAATATAAAGATTTGAAACTAATTTTTATGTACTTCCATTTTACATAATTTAACATTCAGAACCAGAAAACTGTGGAATAAGAATACGAATATGAGACTTAAGTTATCTATAAATAATATATATTTCGCTTGTCTGTCAGTTTGTCTGTTTGTGTCCCATAAACGTCAATACGCGGCTAAATTTTGTATGGGACCTCAAATGACCCCAGAGAAGGTTTATGAGTGATCAAAATTTCAAAAATTAGCCTCCAACAAAATTCGATTGTCATTAAATTTTGAAAATCCACAAATTTTGTTTTATAAAATCCGCGAACTTTTTGTTTGTTTTTGTTTTTTAATGTATACAAAGAGGAAATGAAATGTTCAATTAAAATAGAAGATGGGCGCTAAGCGCTCTAAAACCTTAGTGATTTAAAAAACAATCAACATGAGACATAAGGAATTTTACAGGGTCGCTGCCAGACCATTTCACTTTGGAAAGTGGTTTTCTAGCAACTAGGAAAACTATTTGCTTTGCGGTTCGTGAACTTTTTTCTATATTCTAAAAAAGACAGAAAACTGCCTGGAAAAGAGGCTGTAGGAACAAACTCGTATACATCTCTCCTATCATTTCTTATTTTAGTAAATACCCTTCTTTTTTGAATTAAATAATATTTTCATATTTTTGTTTAAGTAGCCTTCTTTCATCTCTCGTGCGTCAATCGGAAAGCATACTTCATCTAATGTAACGAGAAAGCAAAAGATTATTTGGACATTGTCCAAGTCTGGGTCAAGTTTATTGCCCAAACATTATATAACCTCAATTTAAAATTTATAGTTTTAATTAGACTAATCGCCATGTTTAAAAAATAACGAAACACGAAAAATATCATGGTGTGGTTTTATTTTTATAAAACTCAATTAAAAGGAATTAAAGACTGAGTTTTAGATGCAAAATAAGGTTTCAAAGTTTTTTAAATATATTTTAAGAAAGTGCCGCACACTCTATTTTCAATGTTTATTGATATTAAAACAAATAAAGGAATAAAATAATAATAATGCTGGTCAATTAGAACTTTTGGTCCTTTCAAACAAAATTATTTAGATTAATTTTACGCTAAAAACATTTTGGGATATCTGATAATAAAAATTTAAGAATGTCAAGACATTTTATTATACAACATAAAATTATTTTTACATTAATTGTATGCTTATATTCAAAGTTTAATATTTTGCTGATAAATTCCATTTTTTTGCCAAATAATGTTTTTAAGAAAATAATGTTATTTTCTTAACATTTTAAAAGTAAAATACATAGCTGTAATCCCATTCATTTTCTCGTAACATTTTTAGCCTAAATAGGTACTTTTCAAGGCTCTATTATTTATTCGTTTTCAAAACAAACCAAAAATACTTTTTCTGTATAAATTGATGGATTTTCAAAAATTCTCAATGTTGACATTTTTTAGGCAACGAAAGAATTGCCCCCAAAAATGATCATGAAAGACACTATTATGCACTGATCAATGATCATGAATGACTCTATCATGCACTGATCAATGATCATGAATGACTCTATTATGCACTGATCAATGATCATGAATGACGCTATTATGCGCTGATCAGTGATCATGAATGACGCTATTATGTACTGACCAATGATCATGAATGACGCTATTATGCACTGATCATGAATGACGCTATTATGCACTGATCAATGATCATGAATGACGCTATTATGCGCTGATCAGTGATCATGAATGACGCTATTATGCACTGACCAATGATCATCAATGACGCTATTATGCACTGATCATGAATGACGCTATTATGCACTGATCAATGATCATGAATGACTGAAGAAAGATAAATTCTAAACAGTAGATTTTGTTTTCTCGACAAACTCTATCATTGACTACAGTGGCCTTTCCCTTGACCGACTGAACTCTAAAAAGCAAAGATCATAATATGCAGAAATAAATCAGCTGATCCGTGTGTACAGTGTACACTGTACATCGCCATTATCATTTAGCAATTAGAACTTTAAAGGAACTGCTGGACGTAATATTAAGCGATCTCCATTTATTGAGTGACATGTGACCCTTTAAACTTTTTACCTCAAGTTTTTCCTCTCAATATATCTTTAAATTCATTTGTTTCATCTAAAGTTCTCTATAAAAGTGACTTTCGCATTTGTTCAGCTGAAGAAAAAGATGAAAATTGTCAGAATACAACACTGATACAAAAACAACGCGTTTCTGCCATATTTTTGCTCATATAATGGTTTAAAGGGTGCTGTCGGACAAGCAATTTATAAATGGAGATTGAAATTTAGTCGACAATTTCTTTAAAATTCAAAATGTTCGACATATGTTTTCTAATATTGGATTAATTTGCCGGCTATGCATGGAATTTGACACCATAATATTTTATCTACAACTGCAATATTTCAATTTCAATTTGCAAGACTCTAAAACTTTTAATTTATCACAAACGGGATTTACTTTAAATCTTTATGATTAAGACAGGGATCCAGGTCCATTACTAAAAGTTAGTCTTTTGGAGGGTGGGGGGAGGTACACAGGTCGATCAAATATATAATAAAAAGCACTTATTCTAACTTAAATTTGATCTGACATAATGGGTTGGGGAGGGGGCACGTAAAGTGAATGATGCGCAATTTTCATGTTCCCGGTCCGGTTTTGGAAATCGTATCACAAACATTGATCAATTTCACGCATTAAAAAATCATTAGTCCAAAATATTTCTCACGAAACCCCAAAGTTAAAATACTGCGTGTGAAAATACAAGTTTCTTTATCTAAATTCAAGTTTTAAATATCAACACTATCATGGTTGCAAAGATATAGGGATTAGAAAATTTGAGCTTGTGGCAAAGATTCTATTCCCTTATTTCATTGTGTTTACAAAAACACTATCAACAATTGGTTTTAAAATGCCTGCTTTATTTTGAACAACTTGTGGCCTAAGTTTTTGAATCAAATTAAATTGCCCTGTAAGGTCGGAGGGGGGTATGCAACCCCCCTTTTTTGCTCTTTCTATGAGGGCGTTCAACCAAAAACGGAAATTTAAAGAAACAAAAACTAGCAAATGGTGAAAAATACATGATTCTNCTCCCTCCTTTCAAAAAAGTGTTCAATTCTTTAACCCAGGACCGAATTTTATGAATCTGAATTGCCTAACGCTCGTTCAAATTTTAATTACCGATTCAAATCCTTCCTTAACCTTTAAATTTGAATCGGTGGTTCAAATTTGAGTAGTTCAGCCTTAAATTCATTAAATTCGGGTCCCCGGAAA